CACTGGAGGTTTTTAAGAAGATGTTGGATAACCATTTGACTGAAGTGGTGTAGGGTTTCCTGCCTAGGTAGGGGGTTGGACAAGGAGACCTACAAGGTCCCTTCCAACTCTTGTTATTCTATTCTATCTTTTAAATCCACCTAAATTGGTGACTGTAAAGTACATTTTGCTATTTTGATAATCTACATTGGAATTTCTTTTGAAGCTCTTTGCAATCTTTTACTTTCTGTTTTTAAAACAAAACTTGTCATCCAAGCTACATTTTGCTTCTCTGAAACATATAATCTAGAATAGGGGTGTCAAACTCAAGGCCCGGGAGCCAGATCTGGCCTGTGGGATGCTTAGATCTGGCCTGCAGGACCACCCTGGAAACAGCAAAGGACTGGCCCGCAGTGCCTCTGCCAGCAAAAACAGAGCTCGGGAGGACAGCCCTCCCGAGCTCCATTTTCTCTGGCAGAGGGTTGCAGGATGCCATCATAGCCAAAAATGGAGTTCGGGAGCCTGTTTTCGCTGGCAGAGCATTGGGCCACCACAGGCACCCCGACACAAACACAACCCTGATACAGCCATCAATGAAATTGAGTTTGACAATCTCTGATCTAGAATAAGAGCTCCAACATTTGTGATCTGGTAAGATACTTGGAATTTTGAGAATGTTGGGAAGAGTAAAGAATCATGTGTCACATTTGGCATCTAAAAATTCTAAACAAAGTAAGTCACTTTGCATACAGCAACCTCTGTGTAGTATACTTACTGTATAGAATTCCACTATATAAAGCTGCAATTCTGGGTGCAGGAACATGGAAGTAATGCTTGCTTGCTCCTTTGTTTGTTTATTTCTGAGTAGGCTGGCATATCTCACCAAGTGGCACTAGCTGATTGATGTTGCCTGGGCTTGGAAGCTAAAGAGACTCACACCTGCTTAATATCATCAGGAAGCATCAGCACTGTAGGCTAGACTGGAAAGTAACAAAACATGCTGGCAGAAAGCATTTCTATATTGTTACTAAGAAAACCTAAATGGATATTTGCATTTGGTCACTAATAATCAAACAATTTGGGAGTCTTTTTCTTTGCCGTAGAAATACATCGGATAGCAGTACCATGATTGAAAAAAAAATATTTAGTTATTTTTCTTCTTCTCTTAAGCAGTTTATATATGGAAAACTGGAATCCTCATAGAGACTAATCTTGTGCTTTTTCCCCTTGATCTGTTAGTTTTCTGTGGGTAGGATAATTGTTTCTCCCATCCGTGAGAAAAGAATTCAGTAAGATTCTTTTCAATGATTCAAAGATTCAATGAAAAATACCACATCAATTCACTGTTGCTTCTCTCTTGATTTGTAGTGAGTCGGATGGTAATCCCAGCACAGAAGATGAATCCAGCAAGGGGCAAGAGGACTTGTCTCCACGTTCCCTTGCAAGCACCTCTGATGGCGGCACCAGCTTAAGCCTTCCTAGCCCAATGGAGCAAGTATATATGCAGCAACTTGGAAACTCCAAAATATCCTTAAGCTCCTCAGGAGTTTTACTGAATGGAAACCTTATGCCTCCGAATCCATCTGTTTTTCTTAATGGTACTTCTTTCATTCAGGGCCCCAATGGTCTCCTCCTCAATGGTCTCAGTGTGGGATCTTCTCAGGCGGTATCATCAAGCCCGCTCAAAACATCGCCCAACGCTTTGAGCAATGGAATCTCCATGGGTGACATGTTAGTCCCATCCTCAGAAGATGTGAAAGACTTCAAACTCCTCCAGACTTCTCTGTCCAATTCCATTGCACCCTCAACACCCACAACAACATACAGTCCCAATTCTGGGCCTGTCTCTTTCCCAGGCTTGACACCAAGCATGGAAGTAAAGAGGGAAGAAAGTGAAGAAGCAATAGCATCGCAAGACAGTGGCTCAGTAGTCACGTTTACCGCTCCAATCCAAATCAACCAATACGGCGTTGTCCAAATCCCTAATTCAGCAAACAGTGGACAGTTACTTAATGGAGGCCTCAGTTTTTCCCCAATGCAGCTGCCCCCAGTATCAGCAACAACTTCCCGAGGTAAAAACCCTTCCCTATATTAAATTATTGCTTTTTTGTTGTGAAATTAAGAATGTTGGAGGTATGTAATGGCTTAGACCAGAGGTGTCAAACTCAAGGTCCAGGAGCTGAAGCCGGCCTGCAGGGTGCTTAGATCTGGCCTATGGGTCTGCCCTGGAAACAGTGAAGGACCAGCTCGCGGTGCCTCTGCCAGCGAAAACAGAGCTCAGGACAGCTGTGTGCGGCCCTCCCGAGCTCTGTTTCTGCTGGCAGAGGGTTGCAAGAGGCTGCCGCAGCCAAAAATGAAGCTTGGGAACTGGCCACACCCACCCTGGCCACACTCACCCAGCCCCCCCGCAAGGTCAAACATAATCTTGATGGGGCCCTCAATAAAATCAAGTTTGACACCCCTGGCTTAGACATAAAGGGTTGCCCCTTTATGTACAAAAGGAATCTTTCCATGAACAGAAGACAGTTTGACTTTGTGGAGACTGGTACTGATGAGAAAACACCCAAATCAGGCAAAAGAGGTTTTTAGATGGACACTGATGGAGAAATTTTCAATGAAAATTCAAACTTTCCCCCATATCAGCAGGCTTTAGCATCTTATAATCTACAGTATTTATTTTTCTTTTGCACGTTTTGGCCGTAGGACTAGCTTTGTCTTTGAGTAGAGGGAGCCATATAGATTAACATTCAGCCCTACTTAGCTGGCTGCTCTTAGGTGTGGCAGAAGATACTGTCCAAGAGAGTAAATCTTTGGTTTAATAGATTTCATTTGTACACTGGGTGTAGTTTCTATTTGGATGTCTTATCAAAACTTATCAAAACTTGAGAGACCGCCTTCTGCCGATTACCTCCCTCCGACCGATAAGATCGCACAGACTGGG